CCTCCGCCTTCACCATCCATGTCTTCAGGGGTTTGCTGGGCCCTGCCCCAGCCCTCCTGGAAGCTGAGAAGGTAGCTTCAGATATGGCTGCAGGACAATGGGACGGGAAGGAAGGAAGGAGGCCCGGAGAACCCACATCTCTCCATCTTCTCCTGCTCTGGGTTATTCTCAATCTGGTCTTAGGTCCAACACAGCAGTACCCAGACCAAGCTGGATGCTAGGAAAGACACCTGAAACTCACACCTGCTGGTGTTTTCCTTAAAACTGCACTCACTCTACCTCTTTCTCTCTCTTGTGATTAGCTAAGGAGCAATCTTGTAGAGGACAGGGCACGTGGTGGGCAGCCTGCCATCCCTGGTCTCTCTGGTTCAGAACGAGGGGTGGCAGAGGGCCATTTAATCCAACACCTTGTGGCTCGGAAGCAGGAAGGGGCTGGCCAAAGTCCCAAAGATCACCGGGAGTGGTAGAGCCAAGGGTCCAGCCTCTGCCCTGCAGCCTCATCATCCCTGTTGTTTGAGGGTGGACATTTCACTACTTTGGTCAGAAAAGGGACCATGGGCGCATGATAATCAGCTGACTCCATGAGACTCTATCTCTGTAAAAAAGCCCCTCAGCCTAGTTTGGGCTTATAGTGACTGAAGGCAGCATTGTTCCCCTGGTTCTGTCAGCCCTGGCCCATACAGGCAGCTAGGTAGCACTGTGGACAGTGGGCTGGACTTGGACTCAGAAACCCTGAGTTCAAATCCTGCCTGAGACAGTATTAGCTGTGTGATCTTGGACAAGTCACTTGACCTGTTTCCTTCTCGGTAAAATGAAACTAACACCAGCACCTACCTCAGAGGGCTACTGGGAAGACCAAATGAGGTAATGTATATAAAACTTCAAGCACGACATCAATGCTGTTACTACTGTTGCTGCTACTACAGGGCAGCACCCAACTCAGATGCCCCAGAGATCTACGGCCTCCTCTCTGGCAGTGGCCAGAGACCCTTACACGGCAGGGCACGGCCCGTGCCAAGAAGCCAGTTTCTCTCCTCAGGCTCCCTCAGGCACCACAGAAGCCCCAGAAGGACACATGAGAGCCGCCTGACACCAGCCGGCCACGCTACCACTGCCGGAGATCACGCCCACGGTGTGACAGGAGCGGGGGAGGGTCTCTTTGTCCCCAGGGGCTCCCCTCCCAGGCCACTCTCCACCTCAGAGACTGGCCTCCTTGGCCAGAGCAGCAGGCCCTGTGCTTCTCCAAAGGAAGACTGCAGAGGGAGGGGCCTCCCCGCAGGGGCAGCAGACAAGGCTGCCGGCCCAGGTGACGGCCATGCCCTTTGGGGCTCTCCCTTCCGCTGAAGGTAGGAATCTAGGATCCAGAAAGCAATTCAGAATGCACACCCACCATTAGAGCGATGTGCAGACACCCAAGAATGGCAGTCTGCTCAAGAGCAAACCGGGCACATCTGAAAAGACAGTTACCAAAATAGAAAACGTTAATTGGATGTACCACAGGCTTCTTCTACTGCAAGCAATAAATGCGCTGGCACCCAGCGCAGCAATCTTGCAGATGACCCAGGCCACAGGGACACCTGCCTGGAACAGGGGGCTGGGGACCTCACAGAGTGGGCCCAGCAGTGGGCTTTCTTGACTCGTACCCACTTAGAAAGAGAAAGCTTGAAAATATCCCCTTTTCTGAGCCTCCTATTGCAGGGGTGGGGAACCTGACGCCTCGAGGCCACACAGAACAAATCCCTTTTGCCTTTCTAGGGCCTTGGGTACGGCCTTTGGACGGAGTCTAAGTTTACAGAACAAATCTTTGTATCAAGAGGATTTGTTCTGTGAAGTCTGGATTCAGTCAAAGGGCTGCACTTGAGGACCTAGAGGGCCATGTGTTCCCTACCCCTGCCCTACAGCACCTAACTGCTCTCCAATATTTGGCACAAGAAAAGCGTGCCCAGGTGGGACTGAGCAGGAGCCTGCCCAGAGGCACAGCCCATGTCCCCCTCCCCAGCCCCGGCTGTTTATGGCAGAGATCACTGTGGAATCAGCCAGTGGACAAGTTCTGCCACAACACTTGCTCTACCTTACAGTTCAAGTTCACACTCATCTCCCGGCCTGGGATTCTAGGCCCTACAAGATGGACATGCCTCACCTTACCTTGTGACTTAGCTCTCTGTGGCCCTTCCCCCAGGGCTTTTCCTGTGTGCCCCCCATCCCAGCCCCTTTTGCTTACATTATTAGCTCTAGGCCTGCAGACTTCCCCCCACCCCGCCCCCCGTCTGCAGAATTTGCACACATTCTTTAACACTAACTCAAACACCACCTTCCCATTAAAGCCTCCCCCGACTCAGGCCTACAGTGTTTGGAAAATGTCTTTGTTACCTCATCCTGACAATCTGTAAAACGAAGGGTCTGGAGACCTTTCGGGGCCCTCTCAGCTTTGATTCTGATTCTTAGCTCAGCTTTCTGGGCCAGCACGCAAGTATCCACGCCGTCTCAGGAGGAGATGAATCACCCAGCGGACGTAGCAGTGCGCTCGTCAGCACTCACGTCTGGAGGCCTGGCTTGGACACTGTCCTTTCACATACAGATGCTGCATGAACCGCTGCAGCTGGGCCAGGGAAGGCTCCACGTGAGCTTATTCAGGGTAGTTTTGAATCAATTCTTGGAAAAGGCATTTACCAAAACAGATCCTGCCACCAGGCAACCAGGGCTCAGTCTGGACCCTAACAAGAGGACAAACAGATAAAGGCCTGATACTGCAGCACCCCATCAAACCACAGGCCACTGTTCCCTAATGAGACCTGCAGAAATGCCAGGCTAGCAGGCAGGGCAAACCCCCAACACACAGGCATGAGGGCACACACACTGGAGCTGCTGCCAGATCACGTTTAATGAACTGAGCCCCTCTGAGGCTGGAATGAAGAAGCCACCCAGACTTAGTCACTCAGAGCAGGAACAGCCTCATCTGCACACCTAGCTGTGGTGAGATGTGGCTAGGAAGGGAAGCAGACACCACGTCACCCAGAATGCCAGCTCACAGAAGGCCTGAAGATGGAGAAGTGGGGGAGCCCTGGGCTGGGGCAAGGTAGTCCAGCTCTACATCACAGACACTTGGGCCTTTCTCAATGGCAGGGCCCGGGCACTACATGGGTAAATCACTCAGTCACAGAAACAAGCACCCGAGAGCCAGGCAAAGCCATAGCCCTGTGGAGACACTCCCAGGAGCTGCACGTGGCCACACAACCACAAAACAGGCCAAATGTGTCTAAGCCTCTGACACTGAAGGTCCCTGACCTCAAGACTCCTCTGACAGGCACCTCTCCTCACTCACGCTCTCACCTCTGAGGTTCCTCTTGACAAAGATGGTGGCCTGACAGGTCTGAGGAAATTCTGATTATGAAGTCACTTGAGCGTGCTTTAAGGCCATGGCGAGGAAGTGAACGAATCCCCCCCATCCCCATAACAAACTCGAGGCAGGGGTGGGACCTGTGAACTCAGGACCCAGAGCCAGAGCTGGAAGGGACCTTAGAAGGGTGACAGGTGAGAAAATGAGGCAGAGGCATGTCACTGGCAGGATCAGAGCCCAGCTTCAGAGCAAACTCAGTAATTCCCAGGCAGTGCAGCTACTGGGAACAGACTAGGACCTCTCTCACGACTTCCAGAAAGGCTGAAAATGGTTCCATTTACCCCGATGTGAACAGCGCCATCAGGCTGGAAAGGCTGCTGTTTCTGTGGCTGTCATTTTAGACATTTGCCTCATTATTCGTACAGCCCTAGCTAGCTGCAAATGTGCATCAATAAAACTCAACTCACAGGCAGGAAAATTACAGTTTGACAGCATCTGGCCAGTAAAGCAGAGAGAAGAGAGGCGCACAGAGAGCACAGGCATTGGGGCCTGGAGGCCCTGACCTTGGCGGCTGGAGAACAGAGGACACCAGCGGCAGAAAGCTTCTCCTCTGGGGAGGGTCCGTGCAACGTCAGCCCCAACCCTCCCCCATGAAGGACCCCTAGGTTAAGTTGGCTAACTGGCAGGATGTCACTTACAAAGCTGATACACCTCAAAAAACCCAGAAAGCTGCTCCATCAGCGAGCCCCAGGCCCAGCCTTGGGACAGGACATTCCAATGACACACCAAATAGCTGCAGCTCCCCCCAAGAACAGGTCTCCCTGGCACCTGCCGGTGGAGAGCCAGCCCTGAAGCTGGAGTGCTCCTGCGGGCCAAGCCAGGTGACACTTTCCTGCTCTGCTCCCTAGGCCTGAACGTCCCATGTTCAGGGGTCCTTCTGCTATGGGCTTGGGAAAGAGTGCACAGGACTGGAACCCAGATTGGAACAAAGACCCCAGAACCAAACCACCTCTTCCCCAAGCCACGCAAAAGGCTTCCTCGGTCACCGGAAGGCGGAGGCAAGCGTGTCTGGCCATGGAAGCAGGGGCTATTCTCTTACACACACAAAGCTCCATCAGGGCTGGATTGAAAACAGAGCCATTCTGGGGTGGGGGCAGGGGGTGATCTGCCCCTTTTCTTCCATCTGTTGGGGCCCTCTCAGGGAGACCTCCTCTTCCTGCTCAAAGCTCCTGGTCACTCACAGTAGGCCTGTAGGCACCCTGCCTGACCCAGGACATGGGAGACTTTGTACAGAATTCAGCCAGGATAATTAGATGGACTACCTTCTCAAAACCTCCTTATTTCTCCTGGGCACAGATACTGAGAGGCCACATTTACTCCAGATCTCCCTCCCCCAGCTTCCTCAGAAGCACCTGAAAAGCCTCGCTGCCCATTCACCCCGTCACCTGCACTGCAGAGAAGCTGGAAGCTTCTTGGGTTCAGCACAAGAGGCCCATTTTCGCTTTCTGACGCTGCTGCCGTGAGAGCTGTGAATACACATTGGCTGAGCTGATGTCGCCGCTGCACGGAGCAATGGTCAGTGGTTCCACGACCAGAAGGAGATGTGGCTCTGGAGGACAACGGTCAGGCCCTGCTCTGAGTCAGCAGTGTCTTACTCACTCACCTGCCAGGCAATGGCGAGCTGCGAGATCTCCCGCCCAGACATGCCTTCGGTCAGCCTGGCGATCTCGGAGCATTTTTTCCCATAGTCAAACTGGGCCAGCTTCAGGCGCCTGAGAAGAAGGGAGGAGTCAGTGTGGGGGCCCCGGGGCAGCAGCAACTGCCACTCATGGCCCAGAGCTAGGGTGGGAAGAGACCTCAGAGGCCATCTACCACAACCTCTTTGGGGCTTACAGACGAGGAGACTGAGGCACATATGTATCGGTGGCAGAACCCGAACCCAAGCCCTTGGACACCAGCACCAGTGTCCTCATCACTGTACCGGCTGCAGGGCACTTTCTATCGCTGGGAGGTTGGACGTGCACTGATGGTCCCAATGCTACAGTAGACAGTCAGTCAGTTGGTCAACAAGCATTGGTTAAGTGCCTACTATGTGCCAGGCATTGCAGGGCCAAAGAAAAGCAAAAACCCGGTCCATGACCCCAGGGGACTCCCTATGTAACGGACCAGCTGTGCCTGAGCCCCCCTGGGCAGGACAGCAGCAACTGTGAAAGAAAATAAGCATGACAGGCAAATTCCAATTCAGGTCAAGGGAAAAAAATGGGAACTTGAAATCTCTGCTGCTTTCCTACGGTTGGAAACAAACATTCCTGAAAACCAGGACACAAAAAAGTGTGGAACAAGAAAAGCGTGGAGCAGGAAGGCCCCAGGCCTTCCCACAGATGCTTCTCCCTGCAGGCCAGGGCCCAGGGCCCAGGAAGAGCAGCTTCTTCAGGAAGGCACTGCTGCTCCTCAGATGTCAAGGCGCCCTGCACTCCCACCCTTCTCTGCTGACACAGCGCCCAAGAGCCAATGAGACCCAAATCCCAGCTCCTTCCCAGAGTTGAGCCCACGAAGGGAGGGACACTTTGGGATCACTAGTTCACCCAACAGTGTTTACGGGCATCACGGATGTATTGTGCCAAATGTCCCCAGCACAACACTGGTGCGGGAAAGAAATGCAGCAGTGGGATTGTGAAGCAGAACCCCCCATGCAACACCCTTTACTCTGAAGGCCTTCTCAAACTGGCTTTCCGCTTCTGCCTAAGCACCCGGGAGCACTGGGGCAGTGGCGGCTGGGAGCTGGCTGGGAGGCTTCCATGTGGGGCCTGAGAGGGAGGGAGACCCGCACCAGCTCTGCCCCGCCCCCCCCGGCCGCCACGGCCCCGCACACTTACTGCTTCCCTTCCGTGGCTGGCTTCAGAACATACTTGTCAAAGTACATCCTCACCAGGCGCTCCCGTTCTTGGAGCTGAGGCAGGTCAAAGTTGACCATTTCATCTATGCGGTCATTGATGGCCCAGTCAAACTGCTCCGGTTGGTTACTCGCCAAGACCAGCATAAACCTGTGGGGACAGGCCAAAGGGGACAGCTGTCATGTGCGTGTCGTCAGCCACAAACTCAAAAGCACCGTAACTTGTCTTTCTGCTGAGTGTTCCATCCGAGCAGAAATTCCCACTTCCTCCCAAGTCTTTTGGGCTCATTACATACTGCAGTTTAAGAGGAAAAAAGCTGAGTGCAGATTATTCTGCAGAGACCCCAAAGGGGGGATGAGGCCAACATGCTGTCTCTCGCACCAGCTCAAGCAGAGAATCTCTCCCCACCACTTGCCCCTCCCAGCAGAGGCTCTTTCTGCTTGCATCTGGAAAGTGGCCTAAGCTCTGCTCCCTCCTAATTCTCTCTTCCACATGATCTGATGTTGCCAATTAAATGAAGCCTTTCCCTTTGGATTAGTCTTTTCACAGCAGCTATTGCGATACACTAGAGCTCTTTCACCATCTGTTTAAGCTAAGGCTCAAGGAGGAGGAAGATGGAATCCTTGCAGCCTCTCCTGGGGTCATGTTCTCTGCTTGAAGAATCCCACAGCCACTTAGCTTCCCCCAGACCCACAAGCCCAACATCCAGGCCCACCAAGGCCAATTTCTTCAGCAGAAAAGAACATTTCATTTCATCACTGCAGAGGACCTGGCCCACCCTGATGAAATCCCAGGCCCTGGAAGCACTGAACTTCAAAGGGCCTCAGGCTTCAGAACCCCTACCTCCACAGGTTTCTCTTGAAAGGCTGTGTTGCAGGATTCCCAGGAAAGACTTCTAAGGAGGAAGGACAAGCAGAGCACCCTTGGGGACGAGTGGCCACGGGCAGGTGGCGACCTCCACACAGGGCTGTGGGCCAGTCTCCCTGAATTACTTTGGTGACTCCCTATGCATCTGACCCAGGAGTTCTTTTCAGAGATTCTTAGTTCTGCCTTGCTGGTCTACTTGGCGGAGCCTCACTGAGCCTCTCCAAGTCATGAGAAACTGGACCATGAAGCCAAGGAGATTTCTCATACCCTGGAGTCCTGGCCAGTCTGTTACTGGGCGCCACTCTGCCAGACAGGGACCATGATATCCAGGACACAGGAAGCAGGGATTTATTTTTCCAGAGCTCAGTGAGAAACTTCAAATGTCGCTTCATTCCCAAGAATGAGAGACACTCACTTTTATAAAAACAGAATGCGTTACTCCTTCTTCCTGGCTATGCCTTCTTACAACTCATTAGCTCTAAGAAGAGTCCCTATTGTGCCTCCAGGGCAGAAGAGACCACCTCACCGGCCTTCCATTACAGTCACTTCAGCTGTCTTGGAATCAGCCCTTTATCATTAGGATTAATGTTTAAAATGACTGTTTTTCCAGCCCCAAGGACACGATTCCTGTTTTCATCTGATGTGGCTAGGATGTTCTGAGAGTGAACGAATACTGTCTTGAAGCAGTGCCGGCGAAGCCAAAGTGACTTTTAACAAGCTGTCCTTGTATTTTCTGGGAAGCACCAAATGGGGCAGCTCTGTACTAGTCTTCCTAAGGGAGTGAGCATTAGCTCCCAGGCAGGCAAGCACTTGAACCCAACTGCCCCAGGCCCTCCTGGAGGCCAGGTTGCTACCAGTGAACTCTGAGACGTCTCTCCAGCTCTCTCTGAATTTCACGACTGCCCACAGACTACCCGCTTTTTGGACGGATCACACAGCCAGAGCCATGACAGAGTGGGGTCAAATACGCAAATGCCGAGGGAGAGACACCACAGGCCGGAGAGGGAAGAAGCAACAGCAAACCACATCCTGCCCCCGTTAGGACAGCTGGCACACTAAGCGACTCCCACGAAATTACATTGTGTCTCTTCCCATGGACTGTTCACCTTTGGTGCTAAAAGCCTGTGAGATTAAGGGAAAATGGGGGGGCTTCACTTGTTATGTCAACTGGGAGCACCATCAACCTGAACATAAAACATCATGGCCCTGGAAGAGGTGAACAAAGTGGAGGTGTAAGCGTGTGAGTGAATGGACGTGTGTGTGAATAAGTGTGTATGAGTACGTGTCAGTGAGGGCGCACACACACTTGTCAGGCCAGCACCTTCTCAGCCCCCAATCTCACAGCAGGACGTGAGAGACTGTCTCTGGACGACCTCACGGCACGCTGAATGTGCATCCGCCCCGTCGCGCATCCTTACTTGTTACTGTGCTGGCCCGTCCGATGCAGGAATGCATTCAGCGTTGCCCGCAGGTCTTCACTTATCTTCTCCTGCAAAGAGGCATCAGGGACAGCTGTCAGCCACACAGGATGTGGGCAAGGCGACAGATTTTAAAAACGACACTACAGATGACTTTATACTTGAACTAAGCAACCAAAGCACTGGTGGCAGTCGCTGCAAGCCTGTCCCTCGAAGGCCAGTGAGGAAAAGGAAGAAGGTGCTCACTGATCAGAAACAGGCCTTAAGCACGCTGCGCTGAGAGCTTACAGCAGGTGTAGCTGGTGCTTCCAAGACAGGCCCCCCCCCCCGGGACAAGAATGACCAAACGGCATGGGGGATGGCGACCCCCATACTGGAAGGGCCATCCCGGGGGAGGAGAGGGCCTCAATGGGTCTGCTGGGCCCCAGGGGGCAGGACCAGCAGGGCGAGGGGGAGGCTTCTGCCAAACTGCTCCCCAGGCTTCATAAATCTTTCTGTTCCTCACATTCCCTGAACACTGAGGTTACTGGGGTCAGCTGTTTCTGCTTCTTCCTTCTGTTCTATTTTTTGACCAGTACCAAACAATCTTGACACTTGCTGCTTTCTAATAAAACTTGACATCTGTAACTGCTAGCCCCCTTTTATTCCTACTTTTCATTTTCCCCTCGAGATTCTGGGCCTTTGGTTCTTTCAAATAAATTCTATTATTCTGTCTTGCTCAACGGTATCCCTTTGTATAAAAAGCATGGTGCTCAAATCCATAAATTAACTTGGCATCATTTTGGCACAGATTAGACATGAACACTGAACATCCTCCCAGTTATCGGAGTTATTCTTTATTCCTTCCAGGAGTATCTGATAGTCTGTATCTCTCCGAGTCTTGTGGGCCTTGGCAGGCTGGCCCCTAGATGTTCTATGCATGTTGAGTTGTTTCGAGTGAGATTTCTTTTTCTATTATTTCCTCCTTGGTTGATAGCGCCATATAGAAGCACCACTCTTTAAAAGCTGATTTTCCATCCTGCTATTTTATTGAGTTATTAATGCTCTCAATCAGTTTATTGATTCTATAGGGTTTTCTAAGAAAACCATCACGCCATCAGTCATCAGCAGGTACTGGTGGTTTTGTCTCTTCTGTGTCCATGTTTAGACCTTTCCTTTCTCTTTCTTTTTTGCATTATTGCCGTTGTTAGCTTTTCTTGAACTGGGTCAAACAATGGGCAAAGGGGCTATTTTTGTTTTACTCATATTTAATGGGAAAGCTACATATAATTTTATAGCTTTATTATAGATATGTCTAATATAATAAAAAAACATCTTTTGACAGCTACCTTTGGCAGGGTTTTTCCCCCCAAAACATAAATTTTGTGATAGATAGTACACATAGCTTAGGAAGGTTGAAAATAAAATTTATTGCCTCGGCCTAGTACAAGTTGTGCATGGTAAAATCTCTTCCTGAGCCATAAAAAAGTCAAAAGGGACTTGTCAGAGATGGAAAAGAATCCCCAAGTTACAACAGAGATCAACCCAATCAAATGCCCAAAGTGAATTTCTCTTTCCTTGAATTCTACTACCTGAGTTCATCTGTCTGTTAACTTGCTAAGGCGCCCTAATCAAGGTAAATAAAAAAGGGAGTGGCTGAGTGATGAACTGTGCGACATGCGCCGATGGGCATTGTAAAAACAGACTGAGCAGCCGAACGCCCAGGGACCCCGTGATGCCACTACCACCTCTGTACCCCAAAGAGGTCAAAGGAAAAGGACCTCTATGTTCGAAACTATCTAGAGCAGCTCTTCTGTGGTGGCAAACTGAGGGCACAGCCAGACAGGTGTGTGACTGTGCTGTGAGAAGTGATGCAGGGGATGGTTTCAGAGAAACCCCGGGAAGTCCTGTATGAACTGATGCAGAGTGATGGGATCAGGACCAGGAGCACATTCTATGCAGCCACCGTGCCAGCTGTGACAGACTCAGGACCTCTGACTGACATGCCAACAAACACAAGTCCATGGCCTCGGGATACAACGCGCTCCACCTCCACGTGCAGAGCTGACGGCTCAAGCGTGCAGACTGAAGCACAGCTTTATTCTTACTCCCTCCTTCTTTTTCTTGTCCCCCGCCCTCCCCCTGCTCCCCGAACATGGCTAATGTGGAAATCTGTTTTGCCTGACTATACGTATTTGTGATGGGCTTGGTGTTTCTTTCGTTCTCAGTGAGCGGGCAAGGGAAGGAAGGAAGAGAATTTGGAACTGAAAATTTTTTAAAAATTGAATGAAAAAACCAAACCAAACCCAACCAAACTCACTGTGGCTCGCTTTCTCAGGAAGGCATCGGCTTCATCAACAAACAGCAAGAGGCTACAAACGAGAAGAGAACAGAGATGAAGGAACCTGGGGGGGCCACGCAGCTTCGGGGCTCTGGGCAAAAGCCTGGACGTGTTGGGCGCAGGGTCTTAGCATGGTATTTCCTAGGGAGTCGATGGACAGGACAAGAGGACATGACTGCTAGGAGCCAGAAAGTTTTTCCTGCGAGAAGACAGGAGCACTTTAAACACGTGTGGAATGTGATTCTCCTCCCCCACCAGCCACTCAACGGGCACACCAGGTCCTTTACGCGCCTTTATTAGACAAGAAGGAAACACATCTCTGAGACCGGGCACACGCTTTTAGCATTTATTTCACTGCTAGCATTCAAGGAGTTTGACACCGACCAGTACTTGACACTCATCTCTAATCACATCATTTTAAGAAGCTAACAAAGAGCAATGGGGAGTCCTTCATGGTCAACAGTTTTTACTGTATGAGATGAAGAGGTCAGAGTGACTTGAACCAAATTAGAAAGAACTCAAGTCAAAGTCTACAAGGAAATTCTAATATGAAAAAGAGATGTCGAACAGAAAGCCTATCGATAATTTATGTAAAACTGATCTTATGCTTTCTGGCAAAGTATTCCTGTCTAACGATGTGAGAATCAGACCCTGAACAATGCAGTAGCTTAGTAACAAAGGAAGATGCTGAGTTCCCGGAGACTGACGATACAGCAGTGCAGCCTGCGGGTTGGAGCGCTCGTGCCCTTTGCACCCCAACGCCTCATCTTGGTGCAGAGGAAACTGAGCCTCAAAGGCCAGACCAGCAAAGTATGAGGTGGCAGGGTCTCAGCTAGGCCGTTCATTCAAGGCTTCAAGTGTGGGAGGGCCTGGGTCCAGACTGTACATCCATCGCCAGAGGACCAGCCCTGCAAAAGCTGGCCCTAAAATTGTTCATTTTCTAGCTACCACAGCAACTCAGGAAGGCTCTCTGGTAAGACACAAAGGGCCTGTGATCTCTGCCACAGCTGGGAAACCATGAACCCACTGAAGCCCTGAGACCAGGAGCCGTGAGTTACTAAACACAACAGGACTTACTTCTCTAAAGGTCTACACACCTAAAAACTGCACCTACCCTCACTTCCTAGGCCTCCTTGCCTGGGACAAGAGAGCAGAGAGAGTAGGAGACTTACTCTCTAAGTTTTCAATATTCTTTTTTTCCCCCTTGGCGAGGCAATTGGGGTTAAGTGATTTGCCCAGGGCGACACAGCTAGCAAGCATCAAGTGTCTGAGGCTGGGTTTGAACTCGGGTCCTCGGGACTCCAGGGCTGGTGCTCTCTCCACTGAGCCACCTAGCTGCCTCGGTTTTTAATATTCTTGAGTCACATCTTCTGAAAAGCTCTCATGACAAATGCAAATAAAGTACTGATAAGGACATCAGAAAGGAGTGTGTCAGAACCAATCAGAACCCACATAAATCACCAATGAAATGCTCTTTCTGGGCATAGTGTCTAGAAACTGTAAATACAGAATGAGCAGAGTCAGGCTGCTCTGAAGTTTCTTTATGCACGGTGTGGGTAGGGTGATGGCCACCTGCCACAAACATCTCCCCCAACCAAATGGCTGTGAGCTTCCCCTTTCTGGCAGTAGGCAGGCCCAGAGCGCCAGCTGGAGGTCCCCCTCCCCCCACCCCCCGGAAATCCAGGTACGAGCCTGGTTCCAAAGAGGATGTGGTGAGTATCTGACACTCCAACGCCACCTGTGTTTAGAAACAACAGGACGATGTAGCTCATCTGTCAAAGTAACAGCTGAGGGGCGAGTGCCCACAAGGGCGCATCCACTCACCCTCTGCGGCTGGTGTTGGCCCAGTCAAAGACCTTGTGCATGGCAGTCACTCCTTCTCGCCCCATGGGGGCGACATCACCACCAGTCATGATGGCATAGTCCATACCCGAATGCATGGCTAACTTCTACAGGCAAGAACAGAGAGAGAGGGAGTGTTAGGCAGGAGAGGCCACGAAGATGCCCCCTTCAAAATACATACAGGTGCTGATTGAACAGGTGAAACAATCAGTAAAGACTTTTCTAATCTATCATATAGATAGAGGGAGGCCTTGGAATTTTGAAATGACTAACAACCATTCCTTCACTTTGTAATAAAAGATACATGACCATCCTTCAAAAGAAAACATACATTCTTAAAACTGACTCATTTATACCGCTGATTCCCCTCTAGGAACTCAGGCATCACCTCTTATTGGAAGTTATTTAAAAACAAAACACATACAAACATTTTCATTCTGCTTTGCTCATAGCATTTAAACTCTCTCACTCACAGTCTTTATGAGGTGGCCAAGACGGTTACTAGAATGAAGCCCTTGTGAGCATTCTGAGCCGTGGCAGCTTTTCTGACAAAGGCACTCTCCTCACTTCCCCGAGGAAAAATTCTCTGAACTTCTTTTATTTTCTGAAACATTAGTTTTGAGGTTGTGTCCCTATAAAATGAGGGTTTTAATTCACAAAGTCTAAATGTAAGCTTCTGGCAAGCTTCTCAGACTGCCTTTGTTAAAATAGGTGTATATATCTAAACACCAGTTTTAGTCACCGTTTCCAAGGAAATAAGGTAAGAAAAGCATTGCAAAAGAACAAACAATTGATTACTCATGGATTCAGTCTTCCTCTATCATTCTAAGATTGTCAGGAGTTTTTTAACGTGAGGACCAACTTAAGTCACTTCTACCTAAGGGATAAGGTGGATTCAGATAAACATTGGATGTCTAAAGTAGAGAGAAAAGAGATCTTTGACCATGAGTCAAATGGACAAACGAGGCTGGAAGTGAGACTCCTCTTCCAGACCCTGAAGGCAGGTCCTGACAGATGGTAGAGTGCCATCCAATTGGAAGGATTATTTCCCTTCCATATGCTCAGTGGATGACGTAAGGGCTGAGGTAGGGAACTAGAGAAAACCCACCATGACACCTCTGACCTCAGAGGCCACCATCCCACCTAGCACAGAGCAGCAGCCTTGAGGACATCCCCTGCATATTTCCAGTTACTAAAGACTGGTCAGGAAGACTAAGGGCCTCTTTAGAATAACTGGCAGCTTGGCATTTCAGAGTCAGTCAATCACAGGGCAGAAGACAGCGTCTACAGGAAACGCCATCTGGTCTGAAGGGAGGGCCTAGCTCAAGGCCCTCCCACAATGCCCAGGGATCTGTCCTCTCTCCTCCCCTTCCCCTGGGACAAGGGCTGAGCTGAACTGGGCTGGGTCAGAGGCTCTGGTCTCCAACGCCGACATGGCACGTGTCCCGCACTGTGGGGCGTGCCAGGATCTTGACAGCTCTGTGCCTTTACCTTGGCAAAAAGTGTTTTCCCCGTCCCGGGGGGTCCATACATGAGGATATTCCTGTACAAGCTTTTGTTCTTTCTGGTGTTCCTTGTTGCTATGGCGATGTCCCTGACCCGTTCCTCCAGTTTCGGCTGCAGAAGGATGAAAAAGAAACCATTTGGGGACAAGTCACACCCTCTCGCTTTACAAGGCAGCTGAGGTAGGGAGGGAGCCAGTTCGGCTTGAACCCCAGACTAGTGAGCTGGCTGAGGCCGAGATGTCAGCCTGGAACTGAAGCCCCCTGAATCTCCTTTTGCCTCACGGGAAGGCGGGAATGTCCCGTTCTTTTAGTTTATAGATCATCCTTCCTGTCTGAAGTTCAGCGATCAATTCTGGTTTTGTGACTCACAAAATAAACTACATTTAAGCACATTAATAAGCTATGGGCCTGAAAAACAAGAAAAGGGACAGAACACTGACGTTTGGGCAGACAGTAATCAGGGACCCCTGTCAGAAGGGTTTCCTTTCTGTCTTGGAAGTTCCAGAAATACCAGTTTTAACTGTTGGGAGGCTCACTAAACTATGGCCAGAAAGCTAATATTTAACAGATTATGAACATTAAAGGTCATAGCTAAATAAATATATCAGCAGAGAAGGGTGGTTAAATCTCAAAGAAGCACAGTTACTGTATTTTTCACTCCGTCTTTGGGAGTAGAGGAGAAAATAATTCAAACATAGTGAAGTCTGGAATCATTAGAATGAGAAGACTTGGAATATTTATAAAGTAGAAGAAAAGGCCTGCTCAGAGCTTCAAGTAGCAAGGAAAACAGTGCACGGTCCAGGTTGTTACTTACACTGAGAACAACTCCTTCCAGAGCATCCTGAGGCTTACTCGCCAGACGCTTGCCAACCTGCAGAGAGAGCAGCACGATTGGAGACCCAGACTACGTGCATGTGTGGAAGGCAGTCCATCAGAGAACCGGACATGGGCAGGGCCTCAACATTGCCTTTGCCTCTCCCAAAGCTATGAAACCGTTCTGATTCTACTTGGAAAGCTGGAGTCAGTGACAAAGAAGCATGTGATGGAGAACTCTGTGCGGGGCTTTGGGAAGAACCGATCCACACAGCAGCAACATGAACTGTGCTAGAGTCCAGCTGCGCCGGTGAAGCAGCCATAGTTTAGAACGGACAGAATCACATGCTGAACATGAAGGGAATGTCGTGGGGCGAGGGGAAGGGAGGTTGGTGGCAGGCAGGAAGGACCGGGAAGGGCTCACCTTGATCGGATGCTTCAGCGCCTCCAACACTGTAATTCGTGAGGTTTCTCTTACCAAGGAGGGCTTCCCTAGGCGGGCTTCAATATAGCGGCCAGCAACTGCTGTGGCGTTTTTAGCCGTGTAAACACCAACGGCTAGCAGCGTCAATCCAGCCACCTGTGAAAATAACGGGAGAAGACGCGGTTACCACACTGTGCCAACACCTCCCCCCTGCAGTACCTGTGGTAGCCTCGGTAATGCCAAATTCAGGAAAACCTAAGATCACTTTTTGGCCCTTCAGGCATTTTTATGTGACAGGAGTAGGAAAATATGGCAAAAATTTCTCTTCAAGACAGAATCTTACCTGTTCTTTTAGCCTAGCAGGCCTGGTTTGGGCAGAACAAAAACCAAAAGGATGAAGGAAGGGGGAAGGCATCTCCGACTCTACCTATTATTCAACTCTAATTCTATTTGCTTTTAATAAACTTGGCTTGAACCTTGCCTATTTATAACGCTGTCAGTCACAAGACTGAACTCAATAAAATGAACCACCCTCAGGCCCTCCACACACCAACTGGCTTCTTTGACCAGCGTGTTGTGAACCCCTCTCTGTCAGGACCTCTGAGGCCCCCTCAGACCTACGGCTGCTGAGTGCATGAGGTTTACAGAGGCAGATCCAGCACCCAGCACAAAGCCATGCAGGCCGGCCTGCACGGCAGCTCTAGGCCAGAAGACAAGCCAGGCCAGGAAGGCATGTGGACTAGCTATCATTTAACCCAGGCCTGATGGAGACCTTCAGTCCTAAGTGGCAGCCCTTCTGACCCCCTGAGCCTGTGTCACAAGGCATGTGGCCACACAGGGAAGCACCAGCACTGGCTGGGAAAGAGCGTCCGGCAGACGCCCACGTCAGGATCTCCTCAATTTCAGGCCTGCACACGGCACAGGCAGAAGAATCCCAGACTACTCCATGATTGCTACAGCCAAGTTCCTCAAAGCAGGGGACAAGGCAGAAAGAAGTGAAATGGGAGAAACGAGGAATTTATTTCTAGGTTAGGAGGAGCTATTAGCTCACTCTGAAATGGCCTGCAAAGAGCAGGTAAAGGCTTTCCCCTTCCAATCCTGTCTGGCCACGTTTTCTGCAGGCACCAAAAAGAAAGATGTGGAAGAAACCCAATTTCCCCCCATCAACACCCGACAAACGCACTAAACCAGAGGTGACTACCTTCCCAGAAGAACGCACCATCACAAAACCTCAGAGACCCGACCAGTCACAACTGGTTCAGGCAGCAGCAGCAAACCCTCCTGCCTAGCACACAAGAACTCATGCTGCAAGTCAGAAGCAAGGAAGCAACGGGCAGCTTCTGAACATCTATCACTTCACCTGAGGACGGCACTATTACAGTACTCCCCATCGCTGTTGTGGTGCAGCCGTTCAGCTGTATCCGACTCTGTGACCCCATGAGCCATACCATGCCAATGCTGTCCTTGGGGTTTTCTTGGCAAAGATACTGGAGCAGTTTGCCATTTCCTTCTCCAGCTCATTTTACAGATGAGGAAACTGAGGCAAACAGGGTGAAGTGACTTGCCCAGGGTCACACAGCTGGTAAGTGTCTGAGGCCAGATGTAAACTTAGGTCTACCTGACTCTAAGCTCAGTGCTCTAACCATTGAGCCACCTGGCTTCCTCATTCCCTTCATTACTAGGCCTAAAGCCTGGCCAACTACCTCAGTAACACCATTCCACCCCCCCCAAAAAAAACCCAACCCAAACTGAATACATAATAGCAACATTTCTCAAAACATCACTTCTAATGTTTTCTGTAACTGTTTATTTAAAAAGCCAAAGGAATGTGGACAGAACCTCATTTCTCCAACAAATGATGAGCTCATTCCATCCTGCTACCCCAAATTTGATAGCTCTCCCACCTCCCATGTTTCCCACTCAGTCTGCTCAGTGGAGAGGGCAGGAAGCCAGAGGCTGTGAACCCATTCTAGGCTTGGGATGCTCTTACTGTGGCTCTATGAGCCACTGAGGCATTTATCTCAAAACTTCAAGATTTTGTGCCTTTATCCACGGAGGTTCCTCCCGTCCCTGCTGCAGCATGGCCCTTTACAAGTCAGGAGATGGTCTGTGATGGCTGAGGAGGCCAGAAATCCAGCACCCTGTGGCCAGCATAGAACAGGGCCCTTTCCCACTATCACATTCCACATAAGTGGCTGTCCAGTCTCTGCCTGAAGACCTCCAAGGATAGAGAACCCATCCCCTATGCTCTGGAACCTTCCTTCTTAGGAAGCCTACATTGGCCCCCTGGAGGCTCCCACCCATGGCTCCCGGTTCTGCTCTCCGAGGGCACATGGGACAATTCTAATCCTTCTCCTACAACCTGAAGACTCTTCTCATGTCCTCCTGAGTCTTCTCAGCAGGCTAAATGTGCTCAGTTTCTTCAGCCGATTCTCATCTCCATGTTCTGTCTGTGCCTCTGCTTGGTGCCATGCCCCCAGAACATTGTGACCCTAGCCAGGGAGCCCCCAGCAGTCCCCTTCCCTCTTTCCAGCCTCCTTTTGGCATAGTCCTTCCCCATTTGATTGTTCACACCTGGAAGGGGAGGGACTGTCTTTCTACATATCCTTCTTATCCCCTGCACTCAGCACAGTGCAGTTAGCAAACATTTACTAAAAGGAAGTCAAGGCCCCACAATACCCTGGACAGCTCTCCTCTGGCCATGCTCCAGCTTGTCAATGCTGCTCTTCACCTGTGCTTCCCGATCCCCCACCTGAGTTTTGAGGAAGCCTGGCCCAAGGTCACCTTCATGTTCTGGCTGCCATGTCCCACCGCCAATTCACACTGAGCTCAAGGTGTACTGAACGAACCCCCTGAGCCTTTTAAAGAACTGATCCCTCTCCTTGCCCTCCCCCCAGCTTCTTCTTGTCCAGGCCATTCTCTGTACTGAACCTCACCTCAGCCTGCCACCAGATTTAGCCGCCAAGATCCTTTTGGGGCCTGCCTGCCACCCGGAGTGTGTGTTCTAATTGCCCATGCTCTCTGAACCTGGCGAAAGAGGTGCTCAGGCAGTCACAGCCACTCAGATGGAGGGGCACAAAGCCTTTTAGGAGGTGGCCAAACCTACGGTTCAGACCCAACCATGAACAGAGGACAGTGCAGGACCCTAAAACCCACGCACACACAATCAGTCACAGTATCACCTTCCCCCTGCCCCAGAAAACATCTATTTGGGCAGAGACCCAAGGAAACACTTCAAGTTAAACCTCCCAGGGCCGGCAGCTTTGGAATTTTTCATCTGACAATAGCAAGTATCTCACCAAAGAGAGTACTGTGAATGAAAAGCAGAAAGAGGGAGAAGAAAAATCGCCAGGTATCTCAAAGTTCAGTCTCTCCCTGAGAGCCCTTTGCTGTTTCTACAAGGCACATAAGTGTGAGTGGGTTGAGTATGACATCTTAGCTAAAACTGAGCTAAAAACTGAACCAGACCGCAGAGGACACTCAAAAGAAACACCAAGGCTCAGGTCCAATTGTGGCTTTGGGTGATCATAAATGAACCATTTGTTAGGAGTGTCTAAGCCACTAGACCTGTAAAAAGTGGAAGGGAGGAAGAAGGGGGAGAGAGATTCAGCTAGTTCTTTACAAAGGGAGGAGTGGGAGTCTGAAGAGGAGGGTGTAGATGTGGGAACCAAGCTCTCTTTCTTTAAAGGAGCCTGACATCTCTGTCACTTGTCTTTCCCCAGATACCTTTTCCCTTTCTGCTGTGATGGGCTGCTGACTCATGAGTTTTCTCACTAGCTTAGTAACCAGAAAATATTTTAACTCCTCAAAACGTCAACGTGATAAGCTAAAAGGATGAAAAGGCAGCACCTCAGTTACAGAGTCCCCTCTGCACACATAAAAGCAGCATCAGAATGAGTGTGATCATCTTTACGAGGCCCAGAAGCCACAGTCATTCCTGAAGGATACAAGTACAAGCCAGACAAGACAGGGAAACTCTTTAGATGCCAATAAAATTAAGATAATTCACACTCAGTCAGAAGGGTATAATTAATGACAATCAACTCATCTCAGGCCTTTACTAGCAGCAGGGGAGAAAAACAGACATTCATAGAACAGTGTTCTGTTTTTATGGCGAAAGAAAAAGTCACTTGCTAATAAGACCTTATGCATTCATCACAGGTAGCAGCACATCAGAGTGTGACCAACCCCACATTCCTGCAATAAAATCCAAGGAAAAGTAAAATATTCCAAGCTGCGTGCCAGTAAATGTTTCACAAGCGCGCTTCCACTCTGAAGTTTAATCTTAGTTATAAACATTTTCTCCATCACTTTCTAAAGTCTAGACAAGCAATAAAACAACAAATCAAGCTCTGATCTGTGACGCTGAGCAATTTCTGATGTGTAAATGCTCACACACAACATTTAACAACCGGCTCCACATCCCTGAAATACTCTTTAGGGGAAATGTGCGTTTTACCCCTGACTGGAGGAAAAAAATGACTCACCCGCAGGGTAAGCATCCCCAACTGCCAGCCTAAGTCCCTAACATTGGTTCTCAGCGTCATAAACAGGATGCCACTCAGTTAATGCAGCGGCCCTCCTCTTGGGTATACGTAGAAAACGTATTAACAGCAAGTCACTAAGCAGAGGTCCTATTTACACATTATCTAAGCCTGAAAGGATACGTGGTCATGTTGTGGGGTCACTCTGGGGTCTTACAGGCCAAGTCAGCAGGAGGCCTCAGAAAGACCATGCACCAGCCTGGGGCCCCTGCCACCTCGCCAGGCTTCCAATGCTTTATGCCCTTCCAGTGCCCCACTCCCGTCTCCCAGCTGGGGGGGGGGCTGGGTATGTCCCTGGCTCTCCCCCAGGTCTGGAATGGTCCCCCTTCTGCTCTCCACCAACCAGCTTCCTGCCAGACTCAGCTACAATCTCCCTTTCTGCGTGAGCCTCCGCTGGTCAGTTTGCCCCGGGGGAGGTTGTTCCCCAACCCCCCCCCCCCCCCTGCCGAGGATGAGCTCCCTGCACCCAGCTGCCTGCATGCAATCTCCCCATCAGAATGTGGGTTCCTTGGAAGTGAGGACTATTTCTTTCCTTTCTTTGCATCTCAGAAGACAACACATGCTTGCTGCCTGCCTGACGGATGGAATGAGGATCCCAGAAAAAAAAAAAAA